TGTACTGATGCACTTTTCGATGCTCGAAGAAGGTGTTCATAATGGACAATCCGTTGTTCGCACAAAACCGAAACAACTTAGTGCCGTTATTGCTGAGGTCGCGGGAGCTTTTTTCCAACTACGCCTTTCTAGTTTTCAACGTCTACTCTGACATGAGTATGAGGGACTCCGTATTCGGCACTTCCACTTACTCAAGACCAGTAGCAAGGTCATCGCTTTAGCCTGCTGTAGCAGCAGTCAGAGGACTGCCACTCCTCCGCTGACAGGTTGCCATCAAGTGATTCTATCATCCAGGGTGGATTCTATCAAAACACCAACACCGGCCTGAGTGCGCGTTGTGACGTCGTTAGTTGAGTAGAATAGCTTCCACGCGGAGAGGTTCAGAATTCCAAAGGCTTTGCGCTAATGAGATTCAAACTATATCGAGTTAGTACCTTGCGGCCTCATCAGTTAACCCATGCTCTTTCCCTCTGAGTGAGGCTATACACCAGTTTCCGACCGTAAGTTTCCACTGACGTGTCGTTCCTGTGGAACCTTGTCTGACGTGCAACAATGGAATCGCGCTCTCTGCCTCCTCCGTTCAGATGGTTAGCGACACTCCGTTGCTGCCTGGAAACTTCGTCGTATGCTTGTCGATCTTCAGCAGCAGGACTGTTTGTAACCGCTAGGTTGCCGGTGTTCCTGGTACTTTTATGATAAGACTATTTCTGGCGTCATTATTTTCATGGTGAGGCACACACCCCCATTTCGATGCTATCATTGCGGAGCGCGTTATTTTTTCAAAGGCAGAGTCGATATCAGCTGTCTAGCAACTATAATGTGTAGTCTCCTGCTTTGCTTCCACAAAGTGGTGCTCATTTATCAATCTCAGAAAGAAAAAGCCCAGTGACCTTACCGGGGCTCGAACTCGAGACCTCTCGGTTATGAGTCAGACTCTACTGACTGAGCAACCTCGATCTAAAGAAACGTCCTTGCTCAGTTTCGTCTTTACCCATCTGACTGCTGGCCAGACCAATACAAAAAGTAACCCATACATAAGTATATGTAATTATCTAACCAGTGAAATAGCTAATTAAATATGCAATCGATATCAGATATTAATAATCAGGTATTTACAGAAATCGACGCACAGAGCAATGAGAATATCAACGACGAGTTGGCAAAGCTGACTAGCGACAGAAGTAATTTGCATGTAACCTATCCATCGGCCAACTCTGTCACCAAGATAGTACACATGGTAATCTGCATGCTGTCAATAATGGCTTGTCAGAGTAAGGCTGTAGCGTAACGCAGGAGCTATGTCCAAAAGTTAGTCACACGATCGGCTTCTACGTACACATCCTACGTTGTTGCGAACAGGAGGGGGGCAGCTAGAGTCGGACAGCGGCCAAATTCAGTGGCCTGGAGGAAGCCTTCGACTCGGACTTCAACTGATGTTTCAGCCGTTGTAACTGAAGCCGAGCGTTGCGTTGTTCTCTCTTGATCTGCTTGATCGTTTCGTCGACATCGACTTCAGAGTTGCTGACGTCCCACATCGACTCTGGCTCATCGCTGGGCACGCTATCGTTGATGAAACCAAGCTCGGCAGAGCTTTGCTAAAACATATCAAAAGCAAAGTAGCACATTTTCATCTTTACAGGTTAAGTCATTACTAATTAGACAAGAGTAGCTCTTTTGGTAGAATTCTGGTCTCAACTTCGAAAGATCGTGAGTTCAAGCCGTGTTCATATCTAGCTGCCATCCTTCCAAGGCAGACATTTTCAATACATGTAAGATATATTTAAACTCACCACCTTTACCATATTATAACTTTCAAAGCATTGTGAAATATCGATGATGATGACTGCTGTCCATGATCATGTCAGAAGTCGAAACGTCAGAATAAAAGAGAAAGGTGAATTTTCCTTACGCTCCAAGAGGTTTGTATTGTAAAGATGCGGCATTTCAATGATTACAATTTCTGGGAAGGCAAAGGGGGGCTACACGCCATACCCGTCATGTAAATGAAAGCTGTTTCTTGCATTCATCGCTGACAGCATAGAAACGTTCAGCAAAACAAGTGCTATGGAAAGAAAACTGCCATCAAACGATGCTCATTATGGAAGCGTAAGAAACCGCCCGGCATTCCAATGGTTACGAACTTTCCTCTGTCCTTCATAATATGCATTATCCATCGCAGATAACAGCTAATATGAGAAAGTTATAACCAAAGGTTTAGAAACGACGTCATGTCTCAAACCCTGGTTCGAGAAACATCTGAATTAATAATCAGGAACAAGTTCGAGAAGAGCTTAAAGAACAGTTTACAATTTAAGCTTACTGTTAGGTTGAAAATGCAAATAAATTCCTCTACTCTTCAATCCACCATTATTCAGAAGTGAGTAAACTGCACCAGTCACGATACTTCTTCATTCATCGTTTGTTTGTGTCTCCTTCCTTTGTCACCGTGGGTTATTTCAAGCCGTCGTCCCATATATCTGGAGAAGCGCTCCAGCGACAGTTTGTGTGATCCAGCGGATACCGTATCGTAGTCAGTAAACAAAGCCATGCATCTGACCATTCGCATTTTACGCCATATACTTTCCACGAGGATATTTCCACTCTCGTTTATGATATCTGCATTAAAGATATAGTTGCGGAGCGAAATTCACAAACGTCCTTCGGTTCATGACTGTTTCAGTAACAGACAGATAACGTTTCTCCACTTTCTCCACTTCAGCAGCCACACGACATCGCTGGCAACTTACTGTCTTGAAAAAGCAGGCCTGTATCAGTCTATCTATCTATCAGTCTTTCCAAACAGGATATCCTTGGTGGGAGTCAACACTCGCCAGCCTGCTTTCCTTCTGCAAACTGATATCTACCCACATTAACATAAAGTTTGATACTAAATAGTGCAGTCCAGCTAACAGGTGAGCTTTGAAGACTACCATAATTTCCTCTGCTCAAACTCGGATACGTTACTAATCGCCATTCTTTGACTCTTTCATCAATTAATGCTTTTGTTAATTGGGTGGGATCGCCTAAGCCTGATCACGATATAAACGTTCGTATTTTGAGTGCAACTTACCGCCAAACACTTGCACGGTAACATTTCAGTCGAGGTCTTCCGCGTAGTTGCCTCCAAACTGTATTAATTCGACAACGCTGAAGTTTACCAGTCATATCATAATTCTGCAAATATCGCCTGCTCATCGTCTCTTCCTTTTCAAGACTGATATAACGCCCTTCCTACCTGTGTGTTTTCTCATTTCTTCATTTCGCAACTTCACCATGATCGAAGATACCATCTACATTACGTTTCCATATCCCGATCAGAGAAACAAGAAGGAAAAAAATTTTTAACCATTGGTCTTTCTTGCACTTTCGTGATGGAGCCATTTCTGAAGCTTCTCCATCTTTAAGTGATTGGTGAGCCGCTGATCTCCATTTCCATGGTATCAGCTGGGAGTGCTTTATTTTAAAGGCAGAGTCGACAACAACAGAACGATATTGTCGAAATCGCATTTAGTGCACATTCTCCTGTTTCCTTCCGACAAAGTGGTACTCATTACCAATCTCAAAGGGAAGAAAGGCCTGTGATCCGACCGGGCTCAAACCTGGCACCGACTGAGCAATCCTGATCTCGCTGTTGCATACTTAATAACTGTTCATCTTTCTTTCCCAATACCCGTCTCGAGTCTGCGGTTTTCAAAGCCTACGCTTGGCAGCACCATGCTTTAATGCAACGGAGGTCTTGCCGCAGTGGGAAATATTCTTTTCAACAATGTCAGTTTCTCCTTTAAGTGATGAACGTTGCCAGATATCTCCTACCAGGATCTTCAATTAGCGAATGATTCGAGTCAACTAGTGGACCAAACTAGATATACCGAATGAAATCCTTTATTAAGATGGATTAAAAAACATTGCAACTAGTTGTGACGTGGTGGTACAATGTCTAAGAGGTCTACTTCGAACTATGAAGTTGCCGGGTTCGATTCACTTCTAGCGCAACCTTTGTCTTATTCACGAATTTCCTTGCGCAAGGAATTTACAACACATTGCTTTAGACCGGAGTCAATCAGTGGGTATGGTTTCGAACTCAAAACTGATAGATCCCCAGTTCGAGCCCTGGTCGGGGTCACCCGAGGTTGATAAATGAGTACTGTTCCGCGGGAAGGAAACAAGAGACTACACGCTAAGCTTGCCGCAAGGCTGTAGACCCCGCGTTTAAACTAAGGCACTCCTGGATGACGGCATAAAAATAACAAGATACAACATGATCAGTACGGCAGCATAAACTTCATAAAAAGGGCGCCAAAATGGTCCAATCATGAAACGTAGGGAAGAGCGACATTCCAACGATGGCAAACTTTCCGTTCTTCTTTCGTAACTAGTTGTAGAATTTATTTCTCATCACTCTCGTTTTCTCTGTTTACCATAAGTTAAACCAGCGTACTGTTTAACTTCATCACGTTTAGTATGAATTCAGTTTCATTTGCTTTCGTCTCAAAAGACACGACGTCATACGTAAACAGAGAAAAGTTAGCCCTTTACAACTTATTGAAAAGCATTCAATAAAATTCTTGTGGCGCAATACTGAATCAAGATATGTGACGATCAGCATGGATCTCGAAGAACATCTGCACAAAGTTTGGTGTTAACTAGACTTTCAAACGACTCACGCCTCGAATGAAAGTACTTCTAGTAGGATTTGGATGCGCTTTTCTTCAATTTCCCGACCCTGATTTGCATTAAGTTATTCTGCCGAAAAAAAATGACTTTTCGTAATCTTTGAACATTAGGTCCACACATACCCATACTCATGAGACAAAGACAAAGAAAAGCGACGTATAGAGACGTAACTGCTGCTGGCTCGCATTCCAAAATTTTGCTAGAAAATTCTGCTAATAGAAGAACTTAAAATTTTTCAGCGTTGTCAAAAGATATTGGTGCTCATCAGACAGAATGACTTGATTCTACAAGAACGATGAGAACATTCGGTGAATAAAGTGGCGAATGTGAGTCATAAAAAGGAAAAGTTAAAAGTTATTCCGTCTTAACGCAGAACCTGAGGTGTCTGATGGTCAAACAGTTCGTTATGACGGAGTTGCTGATGACCACTGACTCGTGCTGCGATCTATGATGTCATACGACATAAGGGCATAAGTCTGAACAGTTGTTGCCGTCGCATGTATACTGTCCCACTAAATGCATACTCATTCGGCACTGTGTTTCTCACGTAATCAGATGAATGACCCGATAGCATTACAACCCACTGGCTGGGACCATGGGCAATGTGCTCTGGGGAAGAGTTCGCATTAGAATAAATATGCAAACAGTCGATGGCCTGTTTTGTCTATAATCTACTGCCATCATTGAATACTAGCGACTAGTTGAAAAATTGAAAAATAAGGCACAACATCAAACCGAGGTTTCAACACAGCTTTTACTCACGTTTGGTTCGTCCCGTAAGGCGAATTTGTCCGATATATCCACTTCTGCTGACACGGTAGCGTCAGAGGCCGTGGGAACGAAGATCTACAATGGAGATGTTAGCAACATCAGAAGATAGAAACGGCGTCGTATACCAGCCTTTCCCTTCGGATTTGCTGTGGCATCAACTCTAAAAAATAATTAGGTTCTTGTTCTTCCGTTGCTTGATCGCCACCCATTGAAGTGGCCAAACGACTGCGGTAATCTTTGATCCGTATATCCGCTACAGTTTCTGATTGTCGTGACGCCGTCTGCCAGTCATCCCATGATACGCTGAACTGGAAAACGATAAAGAAATAGTAAATAAATACTGTATAAGTTCAGTAAGAAGACATATTTTAAATCAGCATGCCAACATCAAAATCTCCCTCAGTGTGAATATGTAGTCAGGGCAAAAACTGAGCAGGATAAAAGGCCAAACACCTACATTGCTACAAGAATGCTCCTTTTAAGCAATACGTTGTGCTTCATTTCCAATTTATTATTTCTTAACCAACAG